CTAGGACTCAGAAATATGGTCATCACTGGAGAAATAATTCTTTTTATTCCTGACTGGAAGTGGCAAAGAGTGAACCTAATTTAATGGTAATAGAGTATTATTTCACATAATAGTGATAAAATCCCAAGTAACTTCATAGACTAATGTGGATGGAAAACTCATTAGAACAACCAACCCCCGCCTCACTAAAGCACATACACAGATTTGGAGTAAGAGGACCTGAGTCTAATTCCAGGGGAATGTGGAGTTTGCTGAGTGATCTTGGAAAAACTGTTCAACTTCTCTGACAGAGGTGAGGATTAGTGACCTGGTCAGAACCCTATCAACTCCACATAAGGAGAGATTTGCTTATTTATACAAAATGTGTCTGTGCAGACCCACATTGCTTCTAACCATGGTTGTACAGCAGGGAATGACACCCTCGGGGGTGGCTAGATATTCTCCCCTTTATCCATGTGTAAGCCATGTTCTTTTTGAAGTTTTCAGATGGGCAAGCTCCCTCCTCCCTCAATCCCGCAGGCAAAACAACATGATGCCAACTAATACATTTGTGTTCAAAAGTAAATCTGGTGCCCTGGCCGGTTTGGCTCAGCGGTTAGAGCATGGCCTGTGGTCCAGAGAGACCCCTGTTTGGTTCCCGCTAGGGGCATGTACCTCGGTTGCAGTTTGTCCCTGGCCCTGGTTGGGTCATGTGGGTGGTGACCACTCAATGTGTCCCTTTCACGTCGATGTTTCTCTCTCTCTCTCTTCTCCCACTCTATCTGAACAAAATATCAAAAAATGTCCTTGGGTGAGGATAAAAAAAAAGTAAATCTGGTAAGCATCATGATAGAGCCACTCATTTTACTTTATAATGGATTATCTAAGCCAGCTATACAGTCAAATTTGTCTCATGTTCACAATCATTATTTTCCCAAAGCTATAGACAAGACGAAACCAAAGAATTGTCAGCTTAGGTATAGAAGCAAATTTTTGAAAGATGCTAGAACTTCTTCAGAGTTAGTGGAAAACTTTGCAGGCATTCTGGTGAATGGTAATAATCAAATGACACTTCACCTCTCTCCTACTTCTATTTCCATCTATTCTGACTTAATACTTACCTATATTTAGGCATCTATTTATATCGCAGATCCTCATGAAACTCAGACAGTGTAATATGTTGATCATACATAAATGGTGTAAAAAAATCTGGGGAGCCCCCTGGCCAGTGTGGCTCAGCAGTTGAGCGCCAGCTTGTGGACCAGAGAGTCCCGGGTTCCGTTCCCGCTATGAGCATGTACCACAAAAAAATAAAAAAAATAAAAAGAAAGAAAAATCTGGGGCAATGCTCTTCCTTGACCTACATTTCAGAAAACAATAAAAGACCACACTGTCATTCACATCTTTTGAAATACCTCATATTTTCTTCCAAAGGACAAAACCCACCGACTTAGAAGCATGGCGGTTAAGAACAAGATCTTTTGCCTTAGTATCTTCATCTATAACTTGCTAAGGTATTGTGAATGTGATAGTGCACATGGAGCACGTGGCAATTAGTAAATGATCAATTCTACTATTACTATTTTAAAAGGATCTATGGGTTTATTGTAAAATTTTCTGTCTCCTCTTATAGAAAATAAGCTCCATGATGCTGGAATCTTCCTATTTAGTACATATAGGCAGCTTCTGAATGTGTCTCAAGTGGAGCATTAAAGCATTCTCTTGGTAAGGATGGGATTTCTCAAAGAATTTAGGGTCAAAGGAAATTCCTCTCAAGAATTCTAAAATTCACATTGCCTTAATTTGCAGCATTTAGGGAAATTTTGAAGACTAGCCAGCAGAAAAAGTATATGCTGACAATATAGGTGAAAAAAACGACAACTGCAGAAATATTTTAATTCAAGTCCATGGAGACCTTATTATGTGATACAGCATTGTGAGGGTGAAACAAGATAGCACAGCATAATGCACTTTATTCTTCAAACTTATTTGGCAAGACAAGGTTTCCAGACGTTTATCAAAATTAATAGTGTTTAAGTCAAGTTATACCCCAACTATATCAGGGGAAAGGAGAGTAGGAAATAATGCTGGTGAAAGTTTACTATGCACCAGCATTATTATGTTCTACATATCACACAGCTGTGTTATTTTAACAACCCCCCCCCACACAAAAAATGTATGTAAAAAGCGTTTGTTTGTTTTTTATCACAGAAAGAATGAATATCCTCTAAAAGTGATTTAAAAATGCATATAAACAAAAAGAAAATTTAAATGGTATGGTGCATTAGCTTTGAACAGTTTTGATTAAAATGATAGTTGAAACCAGGGGCTATTTTTAAGAATTTAAAGCATTTAAGTAGCATTAAAGCAAAGGTTAATGATATTTACATACAGTTACCATAAAATTAGAGTTAAGCCCTTAGGTATTTTATAACATTGAATTACTGTTAAAATTTCTTTTAATAGTAATAAAATTTTTTAGTAAACTTGAAGTTATGAATATTTATGGGACATTTTTTGATATGTAATAAAGGTTAACCTTTATCTTTATTAGTAGTAGTAGTAACAGAAAACAGCGAAGGCCAGTGGTGACATCTATATTAATTTGCTTGGGCTACCAAAACAAAATACTACAGACCGGGTGTCTTCAACAACAGAAAATATATTTTCTCACAGTTCTGTAGGCTGGAAGTCCAAGATCAATGTGTGGCAGGTTTGGTTTTGATGAAGCCTCTCTCCTTGGCTTGCAGATGGCTGCCTTCTCACTGTGTCCTTGCATAGTCTTCCTTCTGTGGGTGCACATCCCTGGTGTTTCTTTGGATGTCCAAATTTCCTCCTCTTAAAAGGATACCAGTCAGATTGGATTAGGACCCACTCTAAAGACCTCATTTTAACTTAATCGCCACTTTTAAGGCCTTATTTCCAAATAAAGTCACATTCTGTTGTGATAGTAGAGCTTCAACATAAGAAGTGGGGGGTAGCCCTGGCTGGTTTGGCTCAGCAGTTAGAGCGTCGGCGCTGGGACCAGAGAGTCCCGGTTCCCTTCCCGCTGAGGGCATGTACCTCCGTTGCAGTTTGTCCCCTCCCTGGTTGGGGTTGTGTGGGTGGCAGCCAGTTGATGTCTCTCTCACATCAATGTTTTTCTCTCTCTCTCTCTCCCTCCCACTCTATCTGAAGATAAATGCAAAAATGTCCTTGGGTGAGGATAAAATAAATAAATAAATAAAATAAGTGGGGGGTTGGCACATTTCAGCTCATAACAGGAGCCAGTCTCAGGGTCTCTGAGAGTCAGACAGAAAAGGCCCTCCCTAGGGAGCCAGAAACAAAAGTGGGACCCACACATGTCTGGGGGAAGTCAGCCACACTGCGGTGGCCCAGGCAGTCCATCCAGTTGGACCTGGCCACGATGCCAAGTACACTGCATTTAGTTTTATAATCTATAGCTGAGTTTGCCTGACCTCAGGCAGGCAGGTGTGGGTGAGACCAGCTGAATGGGTAGAGTGAGGGAGTATAGGAGATACTGAACTGGAAGAACAGATGGTGGTGGAATAGCATTTTTAAATGTTTGACCACTTGACCTGGCTGGTTTTCTCAGTGGTTAGAGCATCCGCCTGCGGACCAGAGAGTTCTGGTTCGGTTCCCGCTAAGGGCACATACCTTGGATTGCAGTCTGTCCCTGTCCCGGTTGGGGTCCTGTGGGTGGCAACCACTTGGTGTCTCTCTCATGTCGATGTTTTTCTCTCTCTTCCCCACTCTCTCTCTCCTGCTCTATCTGAAATGCAAAAATGTCCTCAGGTGAGGATAATAAATAAATAAATGTTTGAGCACTTAATGTTTAAACTGTTAGCCCTAGGAAGTTAAATTTGCTTACCAATTTTGTGATAATGTAATCACCATGACTTCACTAATTTGTTTGTACTTATCTCAATTAGTATAAAAGACCATTGATTCTTTTACAATTGGGAACATGCCAATTTCTTTTCCCTTGAAAGAGTTATAATGTAGTAATATAGTTAAGTAACTCAAATTAACTTAAAAAAAAAAAACAACACAGAAAACTATTGTGTACTCCATTCAATTAATTTATTTGTGTCAGACATTGTTTTAACTCCTGGTAAACAGCAATGTACAAAACACAAGATTCCAGCATCATGATACTGTCTTTTCTATTCTGAAAATAAAATAATTTCACATAGTGATAAGCATCTTGTATAAATGTATACAGGGCAACAAGGCAGAGAATAACTACAGCAAGGGTGGTCAAGGAAGGCCTCTCTCGAGTTTAAGATGCGACCTGAAGGGAAAAGGTCATATTAACGCGGAGGTGAATATTGTTCCGGTCTCTTTCTCTCCGGGACCAGACTGATCCCTGTTTCAATGTTTGCACATCTCCGATTATGCAGACAAACCTTGAATTCATAAAAGTCTTATTTTGTTGTATTAGACTAGAATCTGGGGTTCAGAGGTTAGTAGGGCAAGTAACTGATTCCGAAGTGGGTACATGCCTTCATGGTACCGGGTACAAAATGGAATTACAGGCGAAGAAGGATGTACTTTGGTAAAGGTTCGGACAGTACTGAAGACAGGTTGGTTCCTGTCTGGGCTTATCTCGGAAGGCTCTGGAGAGAATCAGACCAGCGTTCGTCATTCTCTCCCACCTTTCCTCCCACGTCCAACACATGGCCCAGGTTTCCAGCCCGGAAAAAAGAAAAAGAGCAAGCAAAGGCCCCAAAGGCTGTCACTTCTCTCAAGGCTTTCTTCGCTGTTAAGATGCAATTTACACAATGATTTCAAACCAAGGCATAGACGTGCAGGACTGGAGGAAGATAAGATGAATACACACCAAAATTCATCTGCAGCCACGCCCTCCCCACACCGCCCAGGTCCGGATCCCCGGACACAAGCCTCGCGATTGGCGCTCCTCGATGACGTCACTTCCGACGCCTCCGTCGATTAATGACGTTACCATTTCCGGGTGACTGATGCCGCCCGTGGCGGCGCAGGCGTCGTTACTCGCTTGTAGACGGTCTATGGAGCCAGTTGGTGCTGGTGGCGGCGTGGAGGCAGGAGACGGTGTCCGAGTAGGGGCCTCTGCCCCACCAGGATGTTACCGGGCTTGGCCGCCGCCACTGCGGCCCACAGATGTAGTTGGTCCTCCCTGTGCCGGCTCCGTCTGCGCTGCAGGGCGGCGGCCCGCGGCTCCCGCGAGCTCCAGGGTGAGTGTCCAGCCCCGGCCGCTGACTCGCGGAAGCCGGACTGAAGGACCAGGCCGAGCTCAGCGCTCTGCACCTTGCCTGGGGCAGTGCGCCCGCTAGCCCTTCCCCAACCTTAGCCCCTTTCGGGTCTCCGCCTTTGCAGTTCGGCCACCCGCCCCAGGGGCTCCTGACGGGCCTCCGTGACCCTGATCTCACCTACGATCCTAACGCAGGTCCCGCAGAAACTTGCCGTCAGCTCGCGGGCAGGGTCACAACCATGAAGCCGACCACTTTGTACCAGATACAACTACACGCGAATCGCGGTGTCTGGCGGTGGCACCCGCTCCCCTCACCCGCTGGGCAGTGGGAGATGACTGACTCCTCAGGCTCCAGGGGCTCTTGAGCTCACCGACTCACCTTCACTGAGTACCTGTAGCCGTGTAGATTTTCTTGCCCTGCGCCTTTCCCATATTCCCAGCTTGTTTTCTTAAACGTCCTAAAAGGAGGAAGGCGCGGGAGGTTGCTATTCAACATTTACGAATCGTTGTTAAGTATGAGCGTATGACCATCCCACAGTCATTGAACGAGCTCAGTATTGGGCTGAAAAACAAAAGCCCTCTTCAGTTCCGTTGAACAGCCTTTTTGGTGAAAAAGTATCTACCGGAGCTGTAACCCAGAAAAAGGTGATGGACGAGAATTTTTATCCTTCTATTTCACCATTCTTTTCGGATTCAAATTGTCCCATAGTTATCAAAAAATAGCATTGAACTTGTAAGTTTTAATCAGGCTTACCTCCGTTTTTGCCACCATAACTTGACACTTGAGAACAATGATAGGAACAGTAAGGGAGAAGACAGAACCAAACCCACCCCTAATCTAGTCCCTCAGACTCTTGGGGATGCAAGGAGTATTTACAGAAACATTTCTCAAAAATTTATGTTTGAAAAACTTGTAGCATGTTTGTGATCTCGCAATAGAAGTTGGAAATTGTAGTCAAGTCATACAAGTTTGTAATATAAGCTATGGTAAGGCCTATGCTATAATATATTTGCAGTTTTTATTTGCAATAAATGTAAAAGCTGGCTTTTAACATTTCAGAAATGTTCTTGGGACTTTTTGGTGGTGATGGAAAAGTATAATTGTTGAGGGTTTTTTTTGTAGTGGCAATATACCTGGTTCTCTTAGGAACAAAATGAATCCTTTGGTTATACTAACTTCAAAATACCCAAGTAAACTTTATAGCATTGCTTGTATTGACCACGCAGTTTCTGCATTTTACACTTAAATTAGGTGTAGTGGCCGTTGAATTTAGACCAAACTGCCCTCTAGGTGTTGGTTAAAAGGAGTTGAAATAGTGTAATTTGTAATCCCTATTCTCTGTCATTATGTCGAAAATTATGTGCTCTTTGTCTCATCTGTGAGCCATAGATAATAATTACCTATCTCACAGTCAGAATGACCTTGCAGAGTTCTTTGGAATGTTTATTACAAAAAAATTAAGATATGTTTTCACTCTTAAAAACGCTTAGTAGGTTTTAAAAAATAACCTTGTTTGTGAAAATTTAGTTTTAGTAATACAGAAACTGTTTTTGAAAAGGGCTACCATATATGGTAAAATTAAAAAATCATTTAGAAAAAGGGTACTGTTTAAGTTGGATGCAAGTGAGAAGAAAAGAATATTTGAAGAAATTTTGGGGAAAAAATTCTAAAAACATTTAATTTTTTTTGTTAGGAAGTGAAGTTTAGTTTATACTTCTAAAATTCTTGTGTGGGAGAATATGAAGTTGGGAAAAATTTATGAAGAATAAGGGGAGGAGGAAACCTTGAGGGAAACAGTTGCTTCATTTGCATACTTAAAATGGAAAATGCCTGTTTGTCAAACTGACACTGAAAATATTTCAAGGTGAAGAGGAAAACAATATTTTAGAGCAGCACTTTCCAAAAGAAATATGTGAGCCATGTATGTAATTTTTAGTTATCTGATAGCCATATGTTAAATAAGAACATGAAATTAATTTTAATACTATATTTTATCCAGTATATTAAAAATATTTCAACACGTAATCAATACAAAAATTATTGAGATATTTTACATTATCTATTTTTACTAAATGTTTGCAGTCCAGTGTTTATTTTACACTTAAAGCACATCTTAGTTCAGAGTGGCCACATTTCAAGTGCTCAATAAACAGTGACTATTGTACTGTACCACTAGTGCAGTTACAGAGTTAGTATCCCTAATTTATAAAAACATTTTACAGACCAGTATACATTTCACTAGAAACGTGGGCAAAGGAAATGAATAAGGAGTTCAAGTGGCCAGTAAAAATGCAAAAGTGTTTTATACTCACTAATAAACATAGAAATATAAGTTTAAAGGATTTGCTACTCACTGCCTGCCTGTATTGGCTAATTTTTTAATAATACCTCATACTGAGGGTGCAAGAAAGCAGTAACTCTCTTACTACTGATTGGGACATATGGTTGAATAGTGTTTTATAGGTCTGTTATTCTTTGTATTAAAAGAACTTTAAAAATTTATGCTTTTTGACCCAGCCATACTGCTTAAAGGGATTTATTTTAATGGAATAATCAGGTATTTAATAAAATGTGTGCATGAGTTTATTATTCATATAAATAAATTGGTAACATAGTTACAAAGAGTTGGAAACTGAAATAATAATAGTATATATATATTTCAGTACAACCACATTTTATTTTATTTCATTTATTTAAAAAATTTTTTTTTGCCTTTACTGATTTTATTTTTATTTATTTATTTATTTATTTATTTTTAATTTTTATTATTATTTTTTTTATCCTCACCCGAGGACATTTTTCCATTTTTTGTTCAGGTAGAGTGGGAGGGAGAGAGAGGAACAGAGAGAGAGAGAGAGAAACATCGATGTGAAAGGAACACATCGAGTGGCTGCCACCCGCACGACCGACCAGGGCCGGGGACAAACTGCAACCGAGGTACGTGCCCTTAGCGGGAACCGAACCCGGGTCTCTCTGGACCGCAGGCTGACGCTCTAACCGCTGAGCCAAACCGGCCAGGGCGCCTTTACTGATTTTAGAGAAAGAGGAAGTGAGAGGGAGAGAGAGATAGAAACATCAATGAGAGATAACATCGATTGGCCACCTTCTGCATGCTCCTCACTGGAGATCGGGCCCACATCCTGGGCATGTGTCGTGACCGGGAATTGAACCAGTGACCTGTTGGTGCATGGGTCGACCTTCAACCACTGAGCCACACTGGCCGGACAATATTATAGTATATTTATAGGCTGGTGATATATGCAACCATTTCTTTTTAAAGAATCATAATTCAGGATATTTAGTGACATGGGAAAATGCTCTTGATATTAGGTAAAACTAGAAAAAAAATTAATAACAGTATGTGTGATAATAACAATGAGTTTCTCTAGAGAAAGATTTTTTTTTAGCTTTTTCAAATGATCTACAATAAACATATACTTTTAAATAATAAAAATGTTACTTAGTTTCTATAGTAAATATATCCTTTTTGTTTTATTTTTCTTTGGTTTTGCATAGAGCACTTTGACAAAAATTTGAGGTCAGAGGATGCTCCTTTAAGCACTTACTACATATTAAATTAAGAGACACATGCTTTTGCTTAAATCTGAGATTGATGAAAGTGTAATTTTTAAATAAAATGTTAGTGACCTGGCCAGTTTTGCTCAGTGGTTAGAATGCCAGCCTGTGGACCGAAGGGTCTTGGCTTCGATTCCCAGTCAAGGGCACATACCTGGGGTGCAGGTTGGATCCCCAGCCCTGGTCTGGATCATACAGGAGGCAACCAATCGATGTGTCTTCTCTTACATCCATGTTTCTCTCTCTCACTCTTTATTTCTCTCTCACCCTCCCTCACTACCTCCCCTCCTCCTTTCCTCCCACTCTAACTAAAAATCAATGGAAAAATATCCTCTGGTGAGGATTAACCAAAAACAAAACAAAACAAAAAAACACATAGAAATTAAGGGTTTGTAGTTTATTCCTGTCTCTAATGTGCCTATATATATATATATGTTTGTTTATTTATTTATTTATTTGAAGAGAGAGAGCGAGATAGAAACATCAATGTGAGAGACATTGATTGGCTGCCTCCTGCATGCCACCTACTGGGAACTAAGTCTGAAACCCGGCCATGAGCCCTAACCAGGAATCAAACCAGGACCTCTCAGTCCATGGGACTATGCTCAATCCCCTGAGCCACACCAGTCGGCTCTAATGTACTCATATTTATTACCATAAAAAAAGTAAAGTGGGGATTTTAACAATTTAACTTTTGTCCCCAGGACCCCCTCCCTTAAATAACTAAGAGGAGCATTGACAATTATAAAAGACCATTTGGGAGACTGACAGCATGGTTTTATGTAGTTCAAGTTAATAATAGAATTTATAACTGTAAAATGAGAGTAACCTTAGTATGTTTCTCATAGTCTTTGTGAGTGAGGATCATTCAGTAAAGAGGTGCTAGGCATTGTAGTTACTGATGGTGTAGTGGTGAACAAGACAGTTTTCACCTCCATTGGGCAGACATTAGGAATGAGAAAACATAAGTACTATACAAGAAATATGCAGAGTGCTGGGCTAGAAAGTAGCCAGCAGGGATTGCTTAGTTACATATGCTGGCCTGGGACTCCAGCTTTTCTGTTGCTGTTTTTACCTTTTTAAAGCAAATATTAACAATAATTAAGCAAGGCAATAAAGATGTGTGCCAAGAGGCAGTGTAGGAAGTTGCCAGGATCTCACATTCTTTACTTAAAAAAAAAGTTCCTATTGCTTACTCTGTTCTGATAAAAAAATCACGTTAGCAATAGTCTTTTAGGTTGAGCTACCTGGTCTAGGTCACACTTTTGCTTGCTAGCAGATTAGGCATAAAAGGGATTTTTCTGCATTTTTGCCTAGCTGAAAGCATAAAAGTAAACTAGAGATAATCAGTGTGTTAATATTAGCAGTAATAATATTACTTATTTAGCAGTGGACATAGTTTTAGTTTTTAGAATTTAGACTTTTTTTTTTGAAAGTACAGAAAAGTATAAAGTATAGAGAAAAAATTATGCAGACTCCAGATGGTTTACCAGTAACATTTGTAATAGTTGAATTCATACTGTATTATTTTGTGTCCTGTAAAATACATTATAAAATGAGTATTTTTACATTACTAAAAATGTTTAATGAATACACAATGTAATTATAGGGTCATCTCATAACTTAATCATTCTGTTGGGGAACATTTAACTTGTTTCTAGGTTTTACTGTGATAATACCATGAAGAATAGTTTTTGCATTCCATATTATACAGTATATTTTGTGGACCTAGCAAGCTTCTGCTGTGCTACTCTGCTTATTGTACATTTTAAATACAGTTACTAACCTTTTTTAAAATAAGTGATTTAGTAACAATAATTTAGTTTTTAATATGTCAGTGCTTTATAAATTTTGGGAAAAAACTATTAAAATAGATTCTTAAATAATAAAACTGACCTCTGAAAGACTTAGGATACATGTTTGAGTCTGGTCCTGTTTGTTTTTAGTTGTTAACTACCTAAGCAACATATAGTAGTATGTCAGTTTACATGGGAGAAAAAGTGTTCCTTGTGTTGTTTGTTAGATGTAGTCTGAAAAAGAAGACCAAATTTCCTCTGAAAGCCAGAGTGAGTGGTAGATGACAATCCAGATTAGAAAGAGAAGATCACTACTAAGTGATCAGTAATAGAGATCATTAGGAGCTACAGAGGTACTCACAGTAAAATAAAAGTAGAGCCGTGGCCGGTTTGGCTCTGTTAGCCCACAGACAGAAGGGTCTTGGGTTCAATTTCCAGTTAAGGGCATGTTACCTGGGTTGCAGGTTCCATCACCAGCCCCGGTCGGGGTCTTTTGGAGGGGGCAACCATTCTATGTGTCTCTCTCACATTGATGTTTCTCTTCCTCTCCCTCCCTTCCATTCTATCTAAAAAGCAATGGAAAAGTATCCTTGGGCGAGGGTTATAATAAATAAATAAATAAATAAATAAATATAAAATAAAATAGAAGCAGAGAATAGTAATTGTTGTGACTAGATAAAGATAAAGTTAAAGATAAAGATAAAGATAAAGATACCAGTAGCTTGCATTCTTGATGAAGAAACCACCCTTGTATTTACACCAAAAAGGAGGTCCTTGTCTAGGCCTGTAGAACAGTGAACACCAAACTTAAGATTGATCTGTAGCTTATTTTAGAAGTCATCTTGAAGAAAGGGTATTAATAATGGTGGGTAATATTTTTTACTATCTTTCTGCCTCCTAGAATTAATTAATGAATCCAGTAATTTATTTCACAGATGTTTGTGTTTCTACTACTATGTTTTAGGTATTATATTTGCTTTATTGACTCAAATGTGGTCCTGTATATTTCTTAGAGTATAAAATGTTAAAGGGGGTATTGCATTCTGTAAGTTTGTTTAATATTTTTATCTTGTTATAATGCTTCACAAGTTAATTTTGCTAGTAGCCTACATACTTTAGTGTGCAAGAAGATAATGCTGTTATATTTGCAAATGACCAAAATTATACTGGGTCTTCAACAATTATTTGCCAAATAAATGAAAGAGTAAATTGACATCAGGAAATTTTTAAAGCAGACAAGTTCCAAGCCTGAAACTTGAGTGAATACTTATGTTGCCTTTGTCCTTCATGCTTTTCAAATTATTTTCAACATTTACAGTAAGTTTTTTCCTGATGAATTCACTGCGCCAGTAAGAAAAGATTTATGTTTTCATTTCAGAAGGCATGTATCTGCACATACACATACATGAAATAACATTTTTGTAAGATCATCATTAAACATTTAGAAAAGTCTTAATTCTTAAATGCTTAACCTGCCACTCTTGGAAAAACAACTGTCTAAAGATATAATTTCATTAATATACCTAAAACTTTAGAAATATATAAATTATATCTGGACAGGGTTTTGAGAGTTCTTTTATTTTATTTATTTATTTATTTTTAATCCTCACCCAAGGACATTTTTTTGTTTTTTGTTCAGATACAGTGCGAGGGAGAGAGAGAAAGAGAGAGAGAGAGAGAGAGAGAGAGAGAGAAACATTGAAACATCGATGTGAAAGGAACACATCGAGTGGTTGCCACCTGCACCACTCAACCAGGGCTGGGGACAAACTGCAACCGAGGTACATGCCCTTAGCGGGAACCGAACCCAGGTCTCTCTGGACCACAGGCCAGCGCTCTAACTGCTGAGCCAAACCGGCCAGGGCTTGAGCGTTCTTTTAAAAAGAATTATAAGTACTCATATAAAAATAAAAGAGAAGGAGGGTCACACGAGCATGGAGACAGACAGATTTGTTTTTCTGACACTTTGTGTAAGTGTGGAATATGGTTTTTTTTCCTGTATTTCAGTCCTCTAAAGCCCTTAGCCAATCCAGATGCAGCAGCTGAAGTGCGTCATAATTAATATTATCTGCCCTCAGTTTAAATCCCCTTATACTGAGAATTTTACCAACATTTCATCAGATGTTGCTAATTGTCTTTTTTTTTAAGTGACTATATGAATGACTGATTAATATAATTCACTTATTGATTATGACATGAAAGGAACAAATCTGAGCTAGTAGAAAGAGGACACAGCCCTGGTCAGTTTGGCTCAGCATTTGGTTAGAGCATTGGCATTCAGACAGAAGGATCGAGGTTTTGATTCCTAGTCAAGGGCATGTACCTAGGTTGTAGGTTTGATCCCCGGCCCTGGTGAGGGTCATGCTGGAGGCAACCAATCGATGTGTCTCTCTCACATCAATGTTTTTCTTCTTTCTCTCTCTCTCTCTCCCACCACCCCCTTCCCTCCCTTCTAGTCTATTTTAAAAAAATCAATGGAAAAATATCCTTGGGTGAGGATTAACAAAATAATAATAATAATAAAAAAGAATGTGGATACAGTGTAATTTTGAATCGTTCGCTATATGAGAATTTTAAATAGGAAGCTCTCCTGACCTCCCAACTCAAGATTTGTGAATCTTGAAAAGTACATTATGCCAGTATTTTTGTGGGGGGCCGGGGGTGGTGGTGTGTGTGGGAGCATGTAACCAGCATACAAAATAAAGAGTATCTGTTATATGCCAGATACCTTTTAGAATAACTGAATAATATAAATTTTTAAAATTTTAATGTGAATAAGTTTACAAATGAGGGAAGATAGGAGTATTATCCTTTATGTTTTTATTTACACAATTTTATCCCTAGGTCAGTGAAACGCCACCAATGGAGAGGGTGGTTTGGTATTGTACATTTGGGTATCTTGCAGTAGGAAAGTTTTACTATTATTGTGTAAAACTATTCTCTTTCTAGTTATAGTAGGCATATTTTATAGGGCATGGATATTCTTGTGTTTATTTTAAATTAAAATACTTTTTTTTTTCTTTTAGAATGGCAGAATTTAGTGACATTTGGAAGCTTCTCAAAAATAGTTCCCTGTAGTCACTCATACTTTTGTGCACCGAGTCAAGTAAAGCTGTACTCAACAAATGTTCAGAAAGAAGCGCAGGGATCAAAACCTCTCACAGTGGACAAAATACCATCATTTGATGAAGCAGGTATGTATAAGTCTTTTAAAATCAATTTTTCTGTATACTGGAATAGTTTTTGTAAGAATATTTGTTCCTTGAATATTTGCTAGAACTTACGTGTAAAACTAACTTATTGATATTTTTATACAGTTCTAGAAGTCAGTAATTCTCTGTCACTGTCTCTTCAGATATTATCTCTTTCCCTCTCTCTATTATCTCCTTTTGGAATTCTCATTAGAAATATGTTACATCTTGCTTTATTTTCCATGTCTCTAAAACTGTCATATTTTTTATTGCTGAATTTTATGTTTTTATTTCTGTCATTTTTATATTTCTATTCTGGCCTGGATTCTGTATTATTTCTTTAGGCCTGTCTTGTTCACTAATAACCTCTTTAGTTACTTCTAATCTACTGATTAATTCATATGTTGGGCTTTTAATTTTAATGATTATATTTTTTATTTCTAGAAACTATTTGTTTTTTACCTTGCTTGGTTGGTCTTGTGTTCCTGGCTTATATTTTCAAACTTTTCTTTTATAACTTAGCCATATTAAACATAGCTATTTTATATCCTGACTGAAAATTATGCTATCTGAAATCTTTTGGTTCCCACTATATTATCTTTTTTTCTCTGTTTCTTGCTCTTATTCATGATACCGTATTTGTGTTTTTTTAACCAAGAGTTGTTCATTTTCTATGCAGTTTTATATCTTGGAACTATTTGCTATTTCTCTGGATTGAAGATATAGTCCTGTGTAGCCTGTGAGCTGCTGGGAATACAGCTTGGGGCCATATTAAACCCTCTGCTTTACATTTTTTAGACCACATTGGTAGCATGAATTCAGAGGGCTGGTTTGTTCTTAGAATTTTTTTGTTGTTTTGTTTTGTTTTGTTTTGTTTTGTTTTTATCCTCACCTGAGGATATTTTTTGCCTTTATCTTCAGATAGAGAGGGGGGAAGAGAGGAAGAGAAATATCCATGTGAGAGAGCCACATCGACTGGCTGCCTCCCACATGACCCCAACTGGGGCTGGGACAAACCGCAACCAAGGTACGTGCCCTTAGTGAGAACTGAACCCGGGTCTCTCTGGTCTGTGGGCCAATGCTCTAACGGCTGACCCAAACTGGCCAGGGCTGTTCTTAGAATATTTAGGGGAATTTTTCACCCACTGTGTAACAGGAAAGGAAAGGCAGGCATCCTTCCCTGCTCTTCCCTTCTGTGGTATATTTTCTGGTTCACGGTTAGACCATGTGTTTGGCTTTTTCCCTCCGTGTCTTCTCTTAGCAGACACTCGTTTTCTGCGTGTCTCCATCTTGAGCAGAACTAGCCTTCTCTAATTTCCCATGCCCCTTATAGCCAAGAAGTTCTGTAGAAGCTCAAAGAATATGAGCTTCAACAGAAATCATGAAGGCAAAAACTGGCTTTGGTGTGCTCACTTATTCCATAGCAGTCTGGCTTGTCCTTCGTTTTGCCCTCTTCAGAACATTTTTTGCTACTTTAGCAATGCATTTGAAAATATTTTGTTCAGGCTATCTAGTTTGCTGTGCAGCATTAGAAAGAAGTCTTTTAGCCCTGGCCTGTTTGGCTTAGCGGTTAGAGCATTGGCCCGCAGACCAATGAGTTGTGGGTTCGATTCCATTCAAGGGCACGTACCTTGGTTGCGGTTTGTCCCTGGCCCTGGTCAGGTCGTGCGGGAGGCCACCAGTCGATGTGGCTCTATCACATCGATATTTCTCTCTGTCTCTCTCTCCCTCACTCCCTCTCTACTTATAAGTAGAAAAAATATCTTCAGGTGAGGAATAAAAAAATAAGTCCTTTATTCATTATTCTATTTAAGAAGTATTTATTGAGTACTTTTTATATGGCAGCAAGTTGAGAATGACTCTGAGTTTATAGTCTCTATTGCTAAAACAGAAAATTAAGCAAACAAATATAATATTGTAGAGTAAGTCCTGTGATAGGAGGAATAGTGTGTGCTGCAGCAACATATGGGAGGGAACTCCCAGGCGTGGGTGGTTACGAAGGTTTTTGTAAGCAAATGATACCTAATTAGGGACCTAAAAGAAAAGTAGGTATTGGTGTGACAAATGGTGGAGAAAGAATGTAAAATTGCAAGTAATATAGCACGATTGAACTAGTTAGTAGAGGACCTGGTGGTGGGGTTGTTAGTTCTGAAAAGTCCAAGGGATGAAACTCGGGAGGTAAACAGTAGTTAGATCAGGGTTTTGTTTAGGAGTTTGGACTTGTAGGCAGTGGGAATCTATTGGAGTATTTTTAGAAGGAAAATACTTGATCAGATTTAAGATTTTAGAACTATCACTAGTTGCAGACTGGAAAACAGATTGCAAAGGAGGCAGTATACAAATGATAGTCTAGACCAGGCTAATGGCAATGATTGTTTTGTTTTTTTTATCCTCACCTGAGGACATTTTTCCATTAGAGTGGGAGGGAGAGAGAGGAAGAGAGAGAGAGAGAGAGAGAGAAACAGTGACATGAAAGGGACACATTGAGTGGCTGCTACCCACACTACCAACCAGAGCTAGGGACAAACTGCAGCCGAAGTACACGCCCTTAGCGGGAACCGAACCCCGGATCTCTCTGGACTGCAGGTCAACGCTCTAACCGCTGAGCAAACCGGCCAGGGCATGATTGCTTTTTTAAGAGTAGTTGAACTCAGGAGATTTAGGAGCTGAATATGTAGGGCTTGGTGATTGAATTTGGGGGAATGAAGGAGAGGGTCAAGTAAAAGGTCAGTGTTTTGTTACTGGAGTGGGGAATTATGTAGTGATTTCATTGGTTTCTAAAATTAGGAATACCAAAGCTAGATAGAGTATACTTTGAGAAGATGATAATTCAAGTTTTGGGCATCTAAATTGTAGGTGCCTCTGAGACATCTTAACAGATGACTAGTAGACAGTTGAGTATACTACAGGCAAACCTCAGAGATGTTGTGTGTTCAGTTCAGACCACTGCAATAAAGCGAGTCCCAAATATTTGGTTTCTCAGTGCATATAAAAGATGTGTATACACTATATGTAGTCTATTAAGTGTGTAATGGTTTTATGTCTAAAAAAAAGTACGTATCTCAATTAAAAAATTAATGATGCTAAACAGTGCTAAGCATCATCAGAACATTCAGTAAGTTATTATATATATATATATATATATTTTTATCCTCACCTGAGGACATTTTTTTGTTCAGATAGAGTGGGAGGGAGAGAGGGAGAGAGAGAGAAACATCGATGTGAAAGGGACACATCGAGTGGCTGCCTCCCGCACGACCGACCGAGCCAGGGCTGGGGAAAAACTGCAACCGAGGTACGTGCCCTTAGTGGGAACCGAACCTGGGTCTCTCTGGACCTCAGGCCGATGCTCTAACCGCTGAGCAAAACTGGCCAGGGCGTGAGTTATAATATTTTTGTTAATGGAAGATCTTGCATTGATGTTGACGAGAACGCAATTTATCTCTGAAGTGCAATAAAGCAAGGTGCAATAAAATGAGCTGTACCTGTACTATTCCACTGTGAGACATCATCTCTTGGCTGGATTACTGCAATAACTTTCTCCCTGGGCTTCCTGCTTTCACTCTCTTACTTGCTCATTATGTTTCAGCCAAACGAATCTTTTAGTTCTTAGAATACCAAGCTTGTTCTCATTTATAGGGCCTTTGCTCTATTTGCTTTCTCTTTCCAAGGTGTACTTTTTCACATGTCTGACCTCTGCTGGTCATTACATTGTAGTTCAAATGTCAGCTCTGCACAGGCGTTCTTTTTTTTAACTTTTTAAGTTTATCTTTGGCCCTGGCCGGTTTGGCTCAGGGGTTGGAGCGTCGGCCTGTGGAGCAGAGTCCTGGGTTCGGTTTCCGCTAGGGGCACGTACCAAAAAAAACCAAACAAATGAAACTTATCTTTGTTGTTGAATGTATTACAGATGTCCCTCCTTTTCCCCCTATTGACCCCCTCCTCCCCACTCCTGCCCCCCACTGCCTTCCCCACACTATTGTTTGTGTCCATTGGTTATGCATATATGCATGTAAGTTCTTTGGTTTATCTCTTCCTGCCCCCCCCCACAACTCCCTTCCCTTTGAGGTTTGTCAATCTAACAACCAATTTGTACTTCTTAATTCCTTCACCTTTTTCACCCATTCCCCAACCCCTCTCCCATCTGGCAACCAACAAAAAGTTCTCTGTATTGTTCATTTTGTTTGTAGATTCAATTGTTGACAGATATGTATTTATTGCCATTTGCACAGTCATTCTTTAGTCATTCAATCTAAAGTAGCTACCCAATCTTTAGTATTACCTTACTTTTAATTCTCTGTGTAGATTGTACTTATTACTAACTCGTATTTTCAATATTTATTTTCTTCTTTATTTTCCACTTGTTTACAAGCCCAATGACAGCAGGAACCTCAGTGCCTAGAGTAGTGGTTTGCACACAGTAGGGGTTTAATAAATATTTGTAAACAATGAACGTGTAGAGTCCTAACCTAGAGATATATAGATTTAGGAGATGTTAGCTACACCCAAATGGTAACTGAAGTGATGGGTATGTTTGAGACAGTGTAGGGAGAGTGTGTAGAGTGAGGAGGTAAAATCTAGGACAAAACCCCTAATGAGTAGGGACAGATGGAGAAGAGGACCCTGCAAAGAATACTTTAGGAGGAGCAGCCCAGAGATATAGGAGAAAATCCAAGGAGAGTACAGTGTCAGGAGATGAGAGTGAAGAATAATAAACATTTCAAGGCCATCTTTCCTTTAGTTGGATGTCTTTCACAGGGGAAGATTTTACAGACTCATTGAGAAACCTGTGCTCATGTAATGACACCTGTTTTTCTTTGTTTCCCTTAAGTCTCACCTCCCCTTTGGGCTTACTGTGTAATCTTAGCCAATTTCTTTCCTTTTTATTGTGGTGATAGAGAACTACTGGGGTAAATATTGATTGAGAGTTTTGATTATAGAGGATGAAGGAATGGAGAGTGTAGTGAGTCCCTAAGTTCCAGAAATAAGCATATTTATTAGATCAT